GAAACTGCATCTGCAAACAGACAGACAATCACTTACAAGTATTGATACAGACAGTGTTGCTCTGTAGTCAACTTAATTATTGATTTGTTATGCAGGAAATGGGGAAAGGGGAGGGAAAGGAGAGGGCAAGGTTTATTCTTGCGATACTTTCAAGTTCACTTCCTAATACTCATTCTACTGCATTTTCAGTAGAATGAAGAAAAAAGACACTCAGTTTATAATAGAAGTTCCATCCATGTGTGGCAGAATTGCCATTATCAGAATGGAATGTCAAAAAACGCGTGAATAAAAACTGCTATCATGACAACCCCCAGCAACTCAAGCCATTCCTATCATCCTGATCATTTTCACATATTTTTCTTATGCTCTTCCTACACTCCCTCTTCTCCATTTTGCTCCTAGCTCTAAACTGTACAGCATAAAAACTTCCTGTTCTGTCTTTACAAATCCCCTAGTGCATTATTTTTTGGCCCATCATGGAGCATCCTGTAAATTAATTACTAAAATCAAAAACCAATGATACTGAACTCTGAGCAGCTAACAGTGCCTCAAGAAATCAATAGAGAATTAAAACTCTGGAAAAAGTGTACAAGGAAACCAAGAGCCTACACGTGTATAATCAGTAAGAGTAATTTGCAAGTGCAAACAAATGTTTATCACCTGATAAAACTTGCATGAAATGTATGAGTCAGAAATTGTATCATTTCATCTATGTAAATAAACATACCTGAATTCCTGGGGATACTGTCTTACCAGCCACTCCACATCTATACAGTAATTAAACTTACACATAAGAAAAATAAAATACTCATTAAAAAGAAGTAGGGTTTGTCAAAGCAATGAATACAGCAAAAAATATTTTCTACACAAAGGTACTGATCAATTCTACTTATATCACATGAACAAGTAGTACTAAACTGCAATTAACATGTTTTAAGAACAGGTATATTTTTGAACCTCACATGCTTTTTTTTAATAATTCATTTAAATTATTCAATACTAAATATACTAATATTCATAGTTCAACATGTAGACAAAGGAGTCACACTGCATAATACAAATGTATGCATAATGTAAAAGCTTTAGTGCAAGAAACATTTATTTGCCCTGTGTTTGTACTGGGCATGATGGCTAGAGCTGCCATGCAATAACAGAATCACCATCCTAGATCGTACTGCATACTACTTTTACTATCATCTACATGCATACAAATATGCATTTTTCAGTTGCCCAGTCTCAGAAAACAAGCAAGAGAAAGTAGCCTAATAGCTGCCTGAATTCTGAGCAGGACACAGGATTTTTTTTGTTTTTAAATAGTTCAGTAAATTGTTATGTAATTGAAAACAGTGGGAACTCAATTTGTGTTTTAATAGAAGCTAGTTATCAGTTATAGGACACAAACATGGAATAACAGGCTTGAGGTCAAGTTATACAGGGAAGTGAAATTGATTCAGCACAAGGAGACTCACCTGAGCAGAAGACAGGAGAGTCCCAAAAAGAGGGGACAAAATATCTATTGAAAAATATTAAAGCACAGTTGAGTTAAAAACAAACAAACATTTCACATTTTGAACAGTTTAACTACTACAACACGAGCACCACAATGTCCACAGGCTTGGCAGAACAGAGACATTCATGACTAAATCTAACAGTTTGAATACTCAAGTCACTGATGCTGCTATGAAGTAATTCAGGTCTTATGGTCCTAAAAAGAGTAACCCCTGTCAAAACAAAAAATACAATTAAAAGGTCATTAGGAGAGAGACCAAAAGTATACAGAGAAAGGGACAAACTATTTTCCCCCAGAAAGATTGCTTAAGGAAGAGTGGCAGGCAGAAGCAATAAGAGCATAGTTAACAATTAAAGACTTATCTGTTGGGAGCTTCTCTCTAGACAGCCTCCAATCTCCCCTTTTTCTATGTTTTTCTTCTTCCCCATTTTGAGAGGGAAAGGTAAACTGACCAGAGTCTTGTCTGAGAATGTGCTGATCAATGCAGGCTGGGGGCAGATAGTAACTCAAGTTGCAACTAAAATGAGATACGTAGCAGACCGATTACAGGGTAAAGGGCAACGCTTACCCTTAATCTATTTTACTGTTGGGAAGAACACAAAACACTAAACAGCTCAAATACTTAAAACCTCAGTAATCGAGGCACAGCAGCTACTTGAAAATACACCCTGCATATACGTTCCAGCATAGACATCATATTTTATGCCCTTCCTCTAAAAAAAAAAAAAAATCTCATTTGGCCCATTAAACAAAAAACGTAGCCTCTCCCCAAGTTGAGGGAATCACCTAGCACAGTAAGCACTCCTAACAGGAGGAAGCTCAAAAGCCACAGTACATTCACAAAGTAGGTAAAGATGTACAGCATAATGCAACTGATGTCTCTGACATCACGTCATCCTCCATTGCAAATGCTCACAGGGAACATATCAGGTAAACAGTCATAACCTAACTGTATGGTCTTCAATTACATGTTCTCACAACACTACAGAAATTCATATCCCATTTCACTAGATTTCTGTGCACAAACACCCAACTAATAGTTGCTTTTGTTGCTGTCTTGTGATGCATGAGATTTCTGAATGAGTGGATGTTTATAGGTGTGCAGAGCTTTTCCTCCCCTTCAGATCAGCTACAACAAACTTAAGTTACAAAGTACTCTTGAAATATTGCTATTGTACACTGAAGACTTCATCTTGATTTATGCTTACTTTCAATTGCACTGAAGAGTGACTACAAATTCCAGCAGCAAGACTCTAGAAATGATACATTGCACAGTATGAAGTAACAGTAAATTACTAGGTCCAAACCAATCTGGGAGGGTGGTCATGCACCCAGGAAAAACATCCCTTTAAGATGACAAAGGGAAGTGGATTTCCCCAAATGAACTCACATGGAAAGCAGCAATAAGCACCATATGATACACCTTGGATAAGCAAACATAAGTTTGTGTAGCATAACTCAGAAGTTGTAAGAAAAAAAAATCAGTATCAACAGGTTTATGCCATGCACTATACCTCTAAAAGAAAGAGGTGAAGATAACAGAACCAATTCTTATAACTTGCATATTTAGAATCTGAAGCTTCAGTTACACCAAGGAATACATGCATTATAAAAAAAGGCATTCTCTTGCCCACAAGCCTCTCAAAAAGCCCATTTCTGTAGAACTCATCTATTCACCTTTTATGTGTAGGGCACCCGAATTATAATTCTGTTTGATTCCTCTGACTTTAGTCAGGAAAAATCTGAAAGGGTTCCCTCCATTCAACAAATCCCAAGTATCCTGGGCTTCGCTGGGTGCTTCACAATGCTCCTCTGCCTTCTGATTCTCTGGGAGTTCATTATCTTTGTGAAAACTCAGAGGATGCTCTTTAGGTGCATAATCCTTCTCTTCTTTCACCGTTTCTTTGTGCCTTTGCTTTTCCTGATCTTCAGGCTCGTCATCACTACTAGAAAGACACCAGCCTAAACCTTCTTGGCTAGGTCTCTGTTTTTCTGCTGGACGTATTTCTGCAGAAAGGCTGTTCTCACTGAACCTCAGTGGAGAGGCTTTTCTCTTGTGAGCAGCTTTCCTAGCTTCAGAGCATGGATACTGTGGCCCACTTGTTCTGCCATGCACAGCAGGCAAGAACAAAGATGTAGATGGCTTCTCATTATCAGAGTTTTCTTCAGTACTTTCATCACTGCTAGATACTGTCCATTTTCCATGTGCTCCTTCCTGAAGCATGTTCCTGGGGGGATTGGGGGGAGGAGAGACAAAAAACCCATGAAGCTGTACCATGTTTGCTGCGCTCAAGACCGTTTTTCCTTCCTAGCATCCATTCACTCATCCCCACGACCTTTATGATTTTCTTAACTGACAGGATCTCTAGACTTCTGATTAGGATATATTTTATAGCATACAGAGCTTATTTGTTTTTGCACCCAGGAGATGGGGAAACACTCATAGCAGAAGCGACCATCAAAGAAGAAGCAGCTAGCACACAAACTTGCACACACACACAAAAGTAGCTAGAAGGGGAGCACGCGTAGAAAATAAGAGGAACGACTTTCATCACAGATAGTTCTCCTGCCAAACCCAACCATCAGGTCTAGCACACTATCCTAGAGAGACACAGGGGCAGAACCGAAACACAGGCGTAACAGATTATTAGTGCTCCACCCACAGCGAGAAACGAAAGCTACTCCACCGAAAACAAGACTGTGGGCAAGCGAGCTCCATTTAGAAAAAAAACTGCTCCACAGCCTGCAATAAGACAGCCGGTTCC